ATAGGTTTTTCCAGCAGGCGTAAAATCTGCGAATATAGCTATAAACAGCTTTATATTTATAATTAGCAGGTATTATAAAATAACAGGCGCTTTTAGCCTTGTAAGCTAAGGAGATTAATTTTTAAAGTTTATATAGTCCTAAAAATTATAGCTGTAAGCCTTAAATATAAGGTTTTTTTTTTATTAAAAAAAATCATTTAATAAAGTAAATATAGCAGTTATTGTAATCGCGCTTTTTATAGCGATTAATAAGCTCGCTAGCGGTTAATTTATGCGATCTAAGTAGCAGCTTGCGAAAAGATCGCTAGCGGTAAAATATAAGGATTAGTAAAACTTTTAATTATTAAATTTTAAATATTTAAATATATATAAGCTTTTTATAGGTTATTTATAGCGTTTAATTAATTAACTGTTATAGAAGTGTAAATCTAGTTTTTTATAGCTATTGCCATTATATGTATATTTATTTTTTATATAAAATAGGTGTGTATTTAATATCTCCACTATGCCACCCCTTATTGGTTGGCTGATTTCTACCTAAGTGAGCCCTTAACAATAGTCCATAAGCTTACCACTTGTTGCCTAGGGCTAAATCCAACAAAATGCTCCTACATCAAAAGCTAACAAGGATAGCCAATCGCTGTTCTCCGTCTCCGAATAAGATTAGTGGCCCCTTTACGGGCCGTCCCCCCACGAACCACCTTTTTACACCAAAAACCCACTTTTTTATACCCTTTTTAAAAAGTGGATAAAATAGCTAAAATTTAAGCACTAGTAAATTAAATTAAAATAAAATCGGGGCTATTAAAATAAAAATAAACAAAAATATGTTTACGATTTAGTTAATTTTTAATAATTACTTTTTAGTTTTAAATTTAAGTGTTTAACACTTTTATATAGAAATTATTAGTAAATTTATTAACTGTGTGATTTTCTAGGAAACTTACTTGTTTTAAGGTTAGTTTAAAATTAATATAGTAAGGCTATAATATTAAAATATATTTAAAAAATTAAAGCTTAATATTATATTATTAAAGATAAAACCCTTTAATTTTTAAATATTTTATTTAATTTAATATTTAAGTTTAAAGTGAAAATTTAAGCTAAATTTTAAGTCACGGGCTGGCTGGCTAACTCCAATAAGTGGCCCCTGCGGGGCCCACCTTTAGTCACATAATCAACCACCCGTGCACACAAGAATATTTACCCATACAATTTCTACTGTAAATATTTCTTTCCTTCTCTATCCTTTGATTAATATATAAATGGGACCCCAACTAGGAGCTTTGCCTCTGTAAAGGACACTAAACGTGCCATTTTAGCTAAATTTTATATGTGAATTTACACAGTGTAAAAAACTGTATAAATTTACTAATAAAATTTTATTAGATTTTTAGCTATAATTTTCACTTTAAACTTAAATATTTAATTAAATAAAATATTTAAAAATAAAACATTTTTATTTTTATTAATTTAATATTAACCTTTAATTTTTAAAATATGTTTTAATATTATAGTTTTACTTTATTAGTTTTAAACTAACTTTAAAACAAGTAAGTCTGCTAAAAAATTTACACAGTAAACAAATTTACTAGTAATCTCTATACAAAAATATTAGTACAGCTAAAAAAATTAAGCTAAAAATTAAAGATTAATTATTAAAAATTAATTAAATCGTCAACGTATTTTTATTTATTTTTATTTATATAGCCCCGATTTTATTATAATTTAATCCACTAGCATTTTAATTTTAGCTATTATATCCACTTTTTAAAAAGGGTATAAAAAAGTGTTAAAAAGTGGATTTTTGGTGTGAAAAGGGTGGCCCGTGGGGGGACGGCCCGTAGGGGGGCCACTAATCTTATCTCCTGCGGCACATGCTTGGCAAGATATCTCACGCTACCAAGCTCTCGTCTCAATCGTTGCAACTGTTATAAGCTAGGTGGCACGAATTCGTCGAAGAATATTCTAACCTAGACCTCACATGTGAAAAAGACAAGTTCCCCGCCCTATCCGGCGTTGCGAAACAGATGCAGCGTCTTCGAGCTGCGAGATACTTAGCGGGACTTTGGGAAGACAACTTGATCGAAGACCTTCTGTGGAAGACGTTCTCTTTGCCTGCGGATAGGCCATCGGAACGAAGAGCACCAACATGGTCGTGGCCTTCTGTAAATGGTAGGATTCATTACTTTTCTAATTCTGGAGTGAACCAACTTGTGTGGATGCGGCTCAGCAAATCTATGAGAAAAATAGGAATTGCGTAGATAACGAAATAACCTCATCACTCGTCTTCGCTTGTTGATGAGGACCGGTTTCCTATCAACCCAGAAACAACATGTGCTACAATTAGGGTTAGGTAACATTCAAGTATGATAATGTGTTCCAAGCTTTATGTTTCCTTTATTTTCTAAGTTCCTAAGCTCCTGCTACTATTCACTAAGTTGTAGTAATGAACATGCTGTAGAAGTGAGGTATTTCGAGATCGTTTTTGGCTACCTACTCCGGGTAAGGATTCTGCCCAGATTGCCGTTCCGTAACAGGGAGCATCGAGTAGGTCGGGTAGTTGGGAGTATTAGTACTGCAGAGGTTTGCGACGAAATCGAATTTTATCTTGATGTCGATCCCATGGGTAGAAAAGCTTTAAATTATTACAGCTCCAGCATTAAGAGGAGGGTAGCGGGTTTAGTGGATTTAAGTCCCTAGCTCCGAAAGTCCGTCTGGCTCAGTTTAATTAGGTATAACCGGCTGCATTATCCATTAATTCTAGTACCGCGTACACAGGTATATTGAACCTAAGGAGATACTGGGTATATAAGAACTCTATAACAGAGTTATACGATCTGTAAAGTAAAACTAATCGCATTAGCTTAAGCGCTGTAGTTGTTGAGATATCCGGGTTAGAAAGGTTTTGACACAGCTCGACGCTGACGTGTGGGCCTGGTCTCGCTCTCGCGGTCGGGTTTATAGCTTGAACTCGACATCCTTTGATGTCGTGTGCACAGTCAGGGAAACACCTTGTTTCATCGATGACGTTCTTCTGAAATGGGATGCAATACCGACGGGAAGACGGCGCCATGCCGCCTTCTAGTCAACGGCTATAAAATCTCCTGTATCTAACACGTCGTTCTCGCTCTCTCCTTTCTGCACTCATCGAATCCCTGCTACAATACCCAAGACGCAGAAATCATGGCCACACCCACCAAGAAGCTTACCTGGTTGATTACTGGGTGCTCTTCCGGCTTCGGATTGTCGCTGGTACGCATAGTCCAGGCCGGCGGTCATAAAGTCATCGCCACCTCGCGCAACCCTTCGAGAACCCCGGAGCTTGTGAAAGAGGTCGAATCCAAAGGCGGCAAATGGCTTCGACTCGATGTGACTGACCCTTCGAGCGGCGCCATCGTCGATGACCTCGAAAAGGCCGGAGAGCAGATTGATGTGCTCATCAACAATGCCGGCTTCTCTATCTACGCGCCGATAGAGACCATCACTGAGGACGAGATCCGTGCCCAGATGGAGGCCATGTACTTCGGCCCCTTACGCCTCATTCGCGCTGTGCTTCCCTACCAACGGAAACGCAAGTCTGGTGTCATCGCCAACTTCAGCAGTGGTGCCGCCCTGGAGGCTCAGGGAAGCATGGGAGCCTATGCTGGCGCTAAAGGCGGTCTCGATGGTAAGTGGACATCCATTCCTTTTGTCTTGGGTGGCTTGGTGATTGAGCCATACCCCGTGATGCCCGAACACAGTTTCCTGCCGTAGGCCTGCTGCTGATCGGACTAATCGGTCATAAGCCCTGAACAAGGTCCTTGCCAAGGAGGTTGCGCCCTTCAACATCCGCGTGCTCACAGTCGTGTTGGGGACGTTCAACACCAACTTTCTCGGCAGTTACGTCTTTGGGAAGAGCTCCTTGCCTGATGAGTACAAGACCACTGTTGCGGGTCAGATCATGGACTACATCGGGTCGGGCAAGCTTCTCCCCAACGGGGACAAGGACAAAGCCATGAAAGCAGTCTACCAACTCATTGTTGGGGAAGGATTCGGCGCCGGAAAGGAGCAAGAGAAGCTCCTGCCTCTCGGCTCCGACATGACGGCTCGCATGACTCTAGTCCAGGACCAGCTCGCCCACGCCAAGGAGGTGTTCGGTGAGGTCACCAACGGTGTCAGTATTGACAAATAGAGTACGGAATGATGCTCCTGTATGGTGAAGCCGTCGTCCGAAGGATGTTCATGTATCAGTCGCAGCTTAGGTCCATCCATATTCTAAACAAACAGCCACATGGCCATGAACTGAACCCTGTCTCTACCACTAATAACAACTTCGCTCCCTTCTGCCTCGATGATGCTCTGCACGGTCAATGGAGAAATCTAGATCCTCTTGACTGCATATCCAGCTAATTTCAACAGCTCACGTCAATACTCCTCAGTTCTCTCCTTGCCGGCCACCATGATCGTCGTGGTCAAGTTGTACGCCGTAGTATACGGATATGTTAGCGCCTGGGGTGCGATGTGACCATGCACAAGGAGGTTGCTTAATCCCGGCACTAGAGTTTCTCTCTGCATTTCCAGAATCTTACGTGCGGGCTCGTCCGACCAGTCGTGGAGGACGCCGTGCATGTAGGAGGTGCGTGCACCCTTGATAGGCTGCGGCGTGAAGAAGTCGTACCCTATCTTGTCGATGAGCTGTCCGCAGATGGCGCGTTCAAGTACCTCTGATCTGTTTTCCAAGTATAAGCGACCCGCGGTCTCCGGGTGAGCTTGGCGGAATTTTCTAGATCGTGGCCTATGTCCCCCCTACATCGACCACCAGGGGGCTTTCTAGCTCTTTCGCGCCAGCTTCGAGGAGCGTCTCGTGGTGAAGATGTCCAGCCACCCTCCCTGGTGGGCCATGACTCCGCCCGTGGCATGGTTGAAGGACTCTCCTTCGCGCAAATGAGATTCATAATGAACATGTCACCCTTCCAGCCTTGCAAAAAAGGAAACATACAAATTCAAAAGATGAAGTCCTCCGAATCAGGGAATCGAACCCCGGGCTTGACGGCGCTTTTATATATCCCAGAACAGAGATGAAAGCGTCAAATGTTAGCCACTACACCAATTCGGATTGATTGGAGGTTCGTGTCTCTAATCTAACCTGCCCTGCATGTGCAGGCATGGAGAACACGGGGAGTGGCACACTTTCTCAGGCTGTACAAGACGATACTGATGTTCACAGTCCTAACTGCTTGTAGGTCCAGTGTTGATTTATTGTTATTGCACAAGGAGGAACACCCCTATCTATGTGGCAGAGACTGCCTAGTTGGTATATATACGCAGGCCGTAGGCCCATGCCCGATACCCCCGCTCCCCGGGGTTATTCCGTAGCGTTCCGTGACAACTTGAATCATCAGACAAACTGATGTTAACCTACCCCTGTTGACCTGACGTTAACTCCACTTTTTGGTGTAGACAGGATCCGCAGGATACTTAACGCCACAAAGATAGCGAGCCTCGTGAGCCCTGGCGAACAGCGGACCAAAATATATATATATATATATATTCGCTTTCTTTCCGGAGTGGGGGTCGGCGCGGAGCGCAGCCCCCCGTAAGTTGAAAAGTTTAAAAAGAATGTTGAATTATGGTTGTCGCGGCGTAGCCGTCTAAGTTAGGAGGTACTCTGTGGCGAGCAATGCGACAAGCTGATATTAACCCACCCCTGTTAACCTGACAAGGCCGTGCACTTTGGTGTAGAAACATCACAACGATCTATAATATACCTCCGCTATAGAAAGCTATATAAAGATAGCAAGCCTTGTAAGCCTGTAGGGCTCACGGCGGATTAAAATAAAAATTTATTCGCTGTTTTTCTGGAGTGGGGGCCGGCGCGAAGCGTACCTATACTCCCCCCCGGAGGTTAAAAAATTTAAAAAGAATGTTGAATTCTGGATATCGTGGCGCAGCCACTACGGCGTAGCCGTTTATTGCTTCGTTAGGAAGTACTCTGTGGCTGGTGTCTACACCTAAGTGCAGGTTAACAGGGGTGGGTTACTCCGTAATGTCATATCTACTACGTATATACTCCTCTGTGGCTAATGTCTACACCAAAAAGTGGAGTTAACGTCAGGTCAACAGGGGTGATGACTCTGACGACTTGATTCGTGGCAATGTGTCTTGGCATTAAATCACAAGGCTAATGATGCTTGTGCTAAAGGACGGTAGGGTAATTCTATTGTGGTATAACTCTACCACTACCAACACCTATAATTAGGCTTAACTACGCCGGCAAATTTGTTAATTCCAGACAGTTATATCTAACTACTATCTAATAACGATACGGCTGTAGCGGCTCTCTCCCTCCCCGGTCAAGCAGAGGTATATTCAGTGCGGGATCAAACGGGGTGACATTGGCTGCAACCAACAACAAAATGTGTGGCAATATGCGCGATAATTTAACAATGTTGCATCTTAGCTGTTTTTAGATGCTTCTCAGCCAATTAGCTATTGGAGTATGTAAAGTATGCCACGGTCTATTCACGAGGTTACCTTACATCTATTGTGCCTAGCCACCAAGGCTTCCAGTAGGGGCAGAAACTGCCTTTTCATCCATTTAAATAATAGCCCCCATTCGCTTTGTTCACTACAACTTATGGCAGTGGATAGATGAGGTTCGTATCAATTGATGAGAGGTCAGCCTCCTTACCATCCTAGAACTGTAATTAGTGCCCGGGAAATTAACCTACTCGGCCGGAAAGAATGATGTGTCACACTAGTCATCCCCTAATAACTGCATCTCGATGCGATGAAACATACCCTAATAGCGTGAAGAGAAGGCGAGGCACTTTTCTATTTTTGGCGTTGTGTAAGCGCATGAGCGAAAGCTCGTATATATTTTTGCTGCCGTAGTTAGTGCAAGCAGACTATATAAGGAGGTGCGGAGGCGCTAGTTTCATAATAATGTCCTGGGAAAACCAAGCACATATAGTTGAGCTGTTTGTCGAAACCTTCCTAGTCAGTATGAGCACTGGCTCAAACTCAGTCGACCCGTACCCTGTGTACGTTGGGACCTGGACCAATTGGTCCCGCGGGCGCATTTTGGGAGGTACTCTGACAATAAGCCGGCGAGACGCCGACCTCCTTATTGCATTTACAGCGTTCTTCGTCGCATTTGTAGCAACACGTGTTTGGAGAATCATATGCTTCGCCATCCACCGATCCTGTTCCAATGAAACTCCGCAAAATGCCATATACCACCAACATCAGGTGAGACTCGACGATTTTCGGTTTTCGTGTTTCTTTGTTCCTTTTTCTTTTCTGGGAAATTGTCATCCTTTAAAATCTCACAGCGGAGCATACCTAACTTTTTTCCTGCCCCGGGTTTTTAATGCTCTTTACATATATCATCGAATCGAGCTTATACTAATTCACGAACCACGATGAGGCCATCTTACGAAATTCGTCGACCCCCGAAGAAGGTATCCAACTCCTCTCCAATGTTTTATGGGCCAGTAAAACCTCGATAGGACGTTCCCGCCCATTGTCGACAGTTGCCGTGGCGATCGTCTGTATTTTCTCCTTCACTATCGCGGGCGGCTTTTCTTCCTATATCTCTACTGCAATTGGAGACGAGGTTTTGGTCAAGAGCATGAACTGTGGGCAGATGCCTCGAGAGCTTCTGCATGACCACGAACCTGTTCTTAACGCTTGGGGAGCCGAACAAACCAACAGTGCAGCGAACTACGCCCAGCAATGCTATTCCAACGGTGGCGGCGGTGGCGGCCTGCTAGAATGCAGCCGGTTTGTCAAGAAGCAAATTATTGGCAATATCGATAGAAAAGCGGCGTGCCCTTTCCACACTAACCTATGTCGAAACCGTTCTTCAAATCTACGTATTGATTCCGGCTATTTAAGTAGTCATGATCACTTTGGACTAAACTCACCACCGGACCAAAGGATTTTACTCAGGAACGTTTATCACTGTGCACCAATGGTTACAAAGGGGTATACTAGCCAAAGCAATACATCTTTTGGGGAGGCAACTCTATACCACTACGGCAATTTTACCAGCCCTATTGGAGTCCAGGACTATGTTTATGCAGCAAAATCACTCCAAACTCAGTATTCATTCACAATATCTAACAGCTCGCTTGTCTCTTACTCCAATTTCGCCATACAGTAAGTTGAACACAACCCGGCATGTGTAGACATCTATACATTTGGTGAATATTGACTTGGGACTTGCAGAACAAATGTTGTTAATGTCAAGGGCGGGAGGGTCATGTCCAACTCCGGGTTTTTACCAATCGACTCCATCTTTCGAGGAGATGCAGACATCGATATTCATTTCCTCTCTGGGAACGGAGTTTTGTTCGCAGGGCCTTCGAATGATGCGTGGTATCGCGTAGCGACCGCACCCGTAAATGGGAGCTATAGCGGCGCAAACCAATCAGATAGCGCCTCCTGGTATCTTGCTTCAGAGCCATCATCTCCACTAGGCTGCATCAATCAATACCAATTCTGCAATTCTGTCTCCGCAGATCGAAAATGTGGCCCTCTGACTAATTTACGCGATGCTGTCGCTGGCGTTGTTGGCCTGTTTGATACGAACTATGCCGATTTTGCAACCAACAACGCGACAACCAGGACAGCGGCTCTCTTCACTTATTTTGCTCAAGCTACTTCTGAAATGTCCGTTTCGAGGTTACTAGTCCAGCTCGGGCCAACAAGTTTACTCTCACAGAGGTACCTCGCCAGCGGGATGCAATATCGATTGGAAACGGATCAATGGCAAATCGATGTGACGCATTGGTGGGATATATTGATGTCAGCCCGCCAAGAAACATTTTTAAGCTATGCTTACGGTCCAACCGATCCAGCCATATTAGCTAACCGTATCAACTATACTATGCCAGAACTGAAGAAGTTGTGCGACAGCCAGGTAAGCGCAGGACGTTCTATGGCATTTGTTCTTGGACTCCCACAATAGCAGATGCTAATTAGCAGCAGAAAATGCGAACTACTGCATACGGGTCCTTTAGTCTCTTCGCTCTCGTTTTCATCTTGTTAGTCGGCGGCTCTTTAGTTATAACGTCTTATCTATTAGAGCCGGTATACAAATATCTTTATAAAAAGAAAGGCTACAAAAAATACCAGCACCTGGAGTGGACCACCAATGCGACTCTACAACTCCAACGTTTAGCACACGAGGAAGTTGGATTCGGTACCTGGTCAAGCTGTACGGAAACGGTCCCAAACACAAAGGCAAATGAATTGCTAGGATCTTTGGACATTACAAATCCGAAGCATCCTATTCTCCAGCCATCATGTCCAGAGAACAGCTCATCTAACAACCCTGAGAGCTTCATCGAGCTACCGAATACCGTACAGGACCCTGTACAAACAGAAAATGCGTCGAGCCCGACTATTACGTCCAGTAGCCCACAATTGCAGCCTACTCGGCCAACTGCTTCCCCTGAGAGGAGTACAGACTTGCCCCAAACGCACAGGCCGATACCGAATTCAGAGACCGCTGAAGTAATCGTTGAGCCGCAGGGCAATAATCCTTCGACTTCAGACACAAATGTTGCACCATTGGAAGAGGAAGGAAATAACGTGAAGTGAGACGATCAGATGTCGGCGCGGAATTATGAACTTCAACAATGCGACAACGACGCTCCGGGTTGGAAATAAAGAATTTTCACATACGTGTGTCAGGGGTAAGGGGACAAGTAATCAGGACGTGAATCAATATACGGTCGTCAACGTTTGAGGGAGGTCATTATGGGTTAAAATGATTTGCTGTAATGGTCGGACAAAAGCGGATGGCGGGCTATATGCTGTTTCACATGTATGAATTTCATAACTAGTGGTTTTCTCATTTCATTTGCCCCTCCCGGTATCATTGCAATACATTCTATATTCCCTAAGTCCAGCAGACCCGTTAAAACAACCCAGAGGCCTAGTTCCACACCTTCTAGAGCTGTGACGGCAAGATTAGCTCTCGCGCTTCCAGGGGGAAAACTACGGTAATGGTGGGGGTTACAACTTGTGATAAACTCAAAGATTTAGAGCAATAGAGGCTTTGCGCTCAGTTCATATTTCAACTTCAACCAAGGCACTCCTTCGCAA